TGGGATTTGAACCCACGTCATTTGGAGTGATGATTTGGCGACCTTTACCATCGACCGAATACGAATCACCACGGTGATTGTAACTGGCTACAATATTTGATGCAGACGATCTGTCGGGTCAATCGAAATTGAATATGACAAATTCAAACATGAATAAAGTAAAACAAAATTGACTTTTATAACAGCATACTACGCATCAATCGCAACATTTGGTACCTACCAAACTACTCGGAGGGTTTTCAAATTCTTCAGCTAATTCTGAGACGATTTTGGAGTTAACGAACCATTGTTTTTGCGCCTCGGTTAAGGCAACCGGTTCTCCATCGATCTCCTGCAGTCAGACCAAGAAATAATTGATATCATTCCTTTGTTCTATGGAGTCATGTGTATTCATATCCGAAAAGTGTTTACTCACACATAAAACGAATATATGATATGGTCCAATACATGATGAGTAGAAATTAATTATAGGTTGTGAAGAGAACTCGTCGGAACTATGAAATCAATCTCTTTTGGTCGGATAGTACAATCTGTTTAGTCTAGCCAAACGTAATGAACCCACTGTTTTAGAATGCTAGTAAGAACATGGTCTTTAGGGCGAAGGAACATCAACTCCGTGGAGAAAATCGATTCGTTGTTATGCCCTAATATTTTGCCGATCTAAAGCAGATTATAATGATTGTACTCTGCTGTATGCGCACCGTGAACAAATATCAGTTGAAGAAACTCGCCGGTTCTCTCACGGTTGATCCACTGATGCGTGGGCTTGTTTGCGGGCGAAATTTTCGATCTGACAACGTTCAATAATACCTTCGGTTTATTCTGTGGTGGGGATCTTGAATCTATTCAGACCTGACAACAGTGAGTATTAAACAATAACGAGCTGTGCTCCCGTCCCTGAATTGTGAACTGCACTAACTACTATTGACTCTGTAAATTTTTGGTAACCGAAACCACTCAGATTGATCAATGCCGAACACACTATTGGCAAGACCAGTTTTAGATAAGTCAACAGTCAGCCAAAGAGTCTACGGTTTGGATTGTCTCATGGTCTGGGGTGCTGTTTTGGCGGAAGGAAAGTCTCAACTAGCAACTGCTGAAAAAACTGAATCTTACTTAAAAACATTGAACTAGTATTCTCTCACATGCTTCCAAAACGTCAATTAGGATCAGGGCTTTCCAACACGGAAACACCTTTGTACATAGAGCCCACTTGGCTAGAATGTGATCACAACAGGTGAACATTGAGACTATAAACTGGTCGACTCAGATTTGAAAACCATGGACAGTGTTTGGAGTCTAAAGGCCTCAGTATAGTCGGGGGTGGGTGTCTAGGGTTACGGCTGGGCACCTTTTCCTGGTACGTCGCGGAATGCTCCCATTCGACTAAGCGTCTTAAATAGCCTCCGCCGAGAAAGCCTTATTCAATGCCTTCTCGTGGCGGAGGTGTTTTCTCACCAAAGTGCGGGGATGAAAAGCCGACATCCGGGGCTAAAACCGGGTTGGGAAACCACTGGTAGTTCACCTAGGGGAGTTATTCAAAACCTTGATTCCAAACCAACCAAGAGGAGGCGTACGAACCACACACCCTCCCGGTTGTGTCGGCGATCACCGGCTCGATTGTTCATTAAGGCATTGGACTCCTGGGACGTTTCACCTCGTCCAAAGGGCGTATGGTCCGATGAACTGGACTGCGATTTTCGCAAACGTCCCGCTGCCTTGCGGGTCAGGCTTTGGATAGCCGAAGGCTCCGGTTGTGGATTCCTCAAGAAAATGCACCTGCCTTGGCCCGGACAACCTGGCAGTATTCATCTCAAATGCAAATCGCGAAACGCATTTCTTTTTTATAAAGATTACCGTACCACGATTTGTTTGGCACGCAGTCTAGAGTCAGTTCACGAGGAGAGTTTATGTAGTGAGGACTCCGAGATGACGCCTGCCAAGCGCCTACGCATTCCAGTTTCTGGACATCGGACGATGGAACAACAGTATTGATCAATCAACAGTCATACAGTTCAAACAGGAGCCGTGAGAACGAGGACGGTGATTGGCTGATATTCGTTTGGCCAATGGTACTTCTACTTGCATATTATTTAATCCCACTGATTTTGTTCAGTAGATAAATCGCTACTTCTGTGACCTTTTGCCTGCGTTTCGATGACGGAAGATTCTTGAGTACGATTGCTAGTGCAATTCTGTGCTTCAGTTGCGACTTTAATTCGTGATTCGATCACTACAGTTAATGCGCATGGAATGGGATTCCACACGCCCCACGAATCGAGGAGAGTTAGCGTTCATCAGTGGATTAATTTAGAAGTTCATAAAATCAGAAATGCGATTGAAAGTACGCCTGAATGTTCTGTTTTAATTATGAATGATAAAACACGGTTTTGTAACCACTTGCATAATTTCATTATTTTTTTGAGTGGGGTTAGTAGCGTCGCGCACATTGCGGGGCATATTTTCTGGGACAATCAACTAGACAAGATCATATTCAAAATGGACTCGGTTTCTGTATACCGCAACGAGCTGAATAAGCATTATAACAAATCTGATCAATCGGGTTGGGGAGGGGGTTTGGTCACCTAGAAATTGCGGCAAAAAAGAGTGAGGTTACTATCAATTCGTATGTTGTCGTAGAGTTGTGTGAGATACGCTATACACTGTCAGTGCAGAAATATGGTTACCGGACGGGTAGATGGGATTATATTTCACATACCAGACAAACACGAAAATCGATGGTGGAAGAGGCATTTTCCTCGTAAGACTGTTAGATCTTTTCTGACGGATGGTTCTCGAATCAAGTGTTATCCCACGCACACTCAACAGGCTGATTTGTAGTGATTACTATATCCGGTCTTTCGCGTTGATAAGAAGGTGGGTTCTAGTAACCTGGTCAGTTAACAATATTGAGCTACCTGAAGAATATATGTATGAAATTTTGCTATTTTCCAGCTTCGTGAATCTCAAGTGGGATATTCAGATGAGTCGTATTAAGGCCAGCTCTCAGGGGCTTAGGCCATGCACTACCTTGACTGTTCGGACTTTACGGATAGATATAATAGGTTGTTTTATCTGCTTATCTCTAGATAAATTTCAGATCAGTTTACTTCAGTTTTCTCAACCGTTAACCTTGAACGTTCGTGCGGCGATTTTTCGCTGTCTTTCGGCTCCTGGTAGGCATTGCAATTTTGATCCAGCTTTAGGTTACCAATATGAGTATTGGAGGCTAATTCCATTTACTTGTGAAAATATCAGATGAGATGGTAGTAAAGTCTTACGTTCATGGATGTAAACGTTTTAGCAAATATCTAAAATTTGGAATGTGGTTCTTTGGGCGTTAACTACACTCTTCCTGTTGGAGCCTTTAGTTTTGAATTGTCGGTATCAGTGAGTCAGAAACTGCAATGAGATCAAACGGATTGTTTAAAAGCCAACAGAATCCCTCTGGCATAAGAAAAATAGATGAAGCAGTTGATGGTAATGAGCCGTCTTGTAATAGACACAGGGAAGTTTTGGTTGGTGGTAGGAATTAACCTGTTTGAACATGCTCTTAACTGAGGAGGCCGAATCCGGTAGCCTGTACAATGAATCAGGTCGACGATATTCGCTTGAAAGGTCCACCAGAAAAACCAGGTAAAACAAGAGCTATGGAAAATAACAAATTTATCACTGCCACCTGCTATTCAAAGTCAAAACAAGGCCGAATTTTCTCATTTGACCTGTTCTGTGACAATCTAATCGTTATATATATATATATATCATAATCAGTAACCTGTGAATAACTAAACAAAATTTCCCTGGAAGCACACGACTGGTTTCGCGGTTCTTGCCGCTCGTCAGGCATGCGTGTCTGTGTATGCCTGCGTATACCAGTGTTATATC